ATCGCCAAACAAGCAAACGAAGAGATTGTCCATGAGGAATATAAAATCCTACTTAGGAGCTACAAGACGGAAATACGTAAGGCGCAAAGGAACTCGTGGAGAAACTTCTGCTCCAACATCGAGAAAGTGCCCGAAACCGCTTCCGCTCCGGAAGCTGCTTTCAAAGCAGCCCACAGTACAGAGCCAACTAAAAGTAGACAACGGACAGTGGATAGAGGGCAGTAAATAAGCCCTAACAGCATAATGGAGGCGCACTTCCCTGGATGCACCGAGGTCACTGACGCCAAGGAGCATCAGGAACTAGCAACTGAGGAACAGCACCCCCCAATAGGTCTGTTAACCACTAAGAGAATCCACTGGGCCATAGACTCCTTCGCGGGCATAAAAGCACCAGGACTGGACGGAATATTCCCACCCGTGATGCAGTTGACCAAAGAGGTTGTTACCCCATGGGTCTTCGCAATATACTCAGCATGCCTAAGTACGGGCTATATCCCCATCCAATGGAGAACATCGAGAGTTGTCTTCCTCCTCATGGCAGGAAAGTGCAGCCACGTGAGTCCCAAGGATTACAGATCGATAAGGCTTACCTCCTTTATACTAAAAACACTAGAAAAGCTGTTGGATTTGCACATCAGGAATGAGGTGGGGGGACTGATGTCAACAAACCAAAACGCCTGCACCAAGGGGAAATCAGTGGAGGCGGCACTACACTCGCTAGTAGCCACAATCCAGAGCGCCCTTCACAACAAAAAGTATGCTTTGGGAGCATTTGTGGACATCTCAGGAGCATTCAACAACGTGGCAACAACCGCAATAACAAGTCGCCTAGAAGCGAATAACATACACCCTGCAATCAACGTCTGGATCAAAAACCTCCTAAGTTGTAGACGGGTGCAATCGGAGTGGGGCACTGCTTCCATGGTAGAGGGGGCACACAGAGGCACACCTCAGGGTGGAGTCCTGTCGCCACTACTGTGGAATTTGGTGGTCGACGACCTCATTAAGGGATTTGAAAGGAAGGCTACCATTGCGCTTTATGCATCCAAGAAAATGCTCAGCAGCACATGAGGCCAGTCACCTGCTCTAATGCACTGGATCTACATCTCGGTGGTGCGGCGGACGTACTAGCTAAGGAAGGCGTCGGGCTGGAGAATAGGAGAACCGAGAACGTGCCTGCTTCCCTTAGAACTCTGCAATGCGATCTAGAGAAGCAGGCTAGAACACAGACTGATAGCAGGTGGAACAGTACCGCCGCCTGCAGAACCTCGAAGATAATGTGCAAGGAACGCAACGAGAAACTTAGCCACTACCTACTGCACCTACCACGAAAGGACTGTAGATTGCTAATGGGAATACTTACAGGTCACTGTCTGGCTGCTGCACATGCAGCTAAGCTAGGCATCACCAACAGAGACAGTTGTAGGAACCTGGGGCTATCGAAACCCTGGAACATCTCATCTGCTACTGTTCGGCTCTCCCAAGGGCAAGGAGGAGATACCTGGGCGCCCCAGTGCTGGCATCACTGGAAGATGCCTCCAAAAGGACGAAACAGGAACTGCTGGCCTATGCTAAAAACACCTCGATTCTCGAGGACTTTAAAACCACATAAACACTCCAGCGACGGTTCATACACCCCCCTATCCGGATAACTAAGGGCCAGATTGGCCTATGCGTGGCCCCGCTGAGGGCCGTCCGGGTTAACCTAACCTAACCTACATGTTTCACTTACGAGACGAAAAATAACTTTGGCTCCCACGCAGAAAGATCTTTCGTTGTGTGTTGGGTGAGGTGATTTGATGAGTGGATGAGTATGATGATGTGAGTGATTGTGATGAGTAGCTGCATAGATGATGAGATGAATGCGGGGCAACCAAAATCAAAAACTGTAAGAATAGTCGGTATTAATACTCTAAGCTACTGGGTTCATACCCCATTTATAAAGGTTATAATCCTTTTTTTTAATTTTTAATAATTCTCCAAAAATTTTATTTTTAACAATTATAATTGTCGGAACAATAATTACAGTTACATCCAATTCCCGGTTACTCATTTGTTGCGTGTTGGACGGGAATTCCCATTTCATCTATGCCGTATGAAAAGAATGTTGGTAAACAGAAATCGGGAAAAAAAGGGTTTCGCATATCGGGTTTAATTTCGAAAAAAAAAGATATAACGTAAATCATCTGGATCGATCGTGGGGTGACTGGTGTATTCGAAGAGTCACTCAGCTCACCTCCCATCGGAGGGGCAATTCCATGCCCTCGGCTACCGCCTCATCCGAGTGTCGAACGGTGGGGTTCAACCGGTGGTACGTGACCAGCTTCTAGACCAGCTTTTCTGTGCGTAGGTACTAGTGGTGCTAATCCTAAGCGGAAAGAAGATAACTTTTTTCAACGGTCGCTGCAGCAGGTTGGATAATTACCTCAAGGAATTACACCACTATTTGAGAAAAATGTTGACACACTGGGGTGCTCGTTTTCCAGACAGTCGAACGGCAGCCACGTATGGGCGATATTTATTTTCTCCGTCCACGGCGTGGAACTCACACTTTGCCCTGGTAGGAATCTTTGACTTTGGCTTGACCTTGGACTGGACACTGAGCCGGCTTTAAGCGAATATATTTTGGGACTAGGACTATTAAGCACAGTAACCCACGTTGTTTTCACACTTTCTATGGTCTGTTTCTGTTATACCGAATGCAGGCCCAGCAATATTTAATAAAATATGCTGCACAGCAGAAAAATTGCATATTAAAGTGTTGCCACTTGATCGCAAAGCATATGTTGATAAGGTTTATCAAAGCTCACCATATCTTAAACTCGAATTTTGTTACGAAAGAAACAAAAGAGAAAACAAAGGGTTCGTTCTGACTGTCGTCAAAGCCTAGATGACATTGTAGATGACATGCGTCATCGCTCACTGCTGGTACTGCAATGGTTATGTATCGGGCATAAATGTAGAGTTGCGGTCGCCGCAGCCACTCACAACGTTCCCCCTCGTTTTATTATTATTTTTTGTTTGGTTAAGGAATTTATGAGATTTATGAGATAATTAGATCGGGCTAATTTTTCTCAAGAATTTATTGAATCAAAACACAGCGTTCACTGTACAGGGTGGATCGCTCTGGAGCTATTAGATCTTATGTGGAAGGGCAAACATTTTCTAAAATCACTGATCATGCTTCCCTAAAATTTTAATGACCTGCTAGAGAAATATAAAATAAAACATTCCTATACAGCCGTCAAAGTTCTTCAGGCAAATGCTTTTGAGAGGGTAAATAGATCGGTTGTCTCCGAAATTAAAACGTATGTACGCCCAGATCAGAAGAACTGGGATGAACAGTTAAGACATATAAGCTGCTCGCTGCGATTAAGCGTTCACTCAGGGGTTGGTCTTTGCCCTTATCGTATGGCTTTTGCTCAAAATATGATCACAAGTGTATCCGAATACTAAATTTTTCGCAATTTAGAACTTTTGGAAGAGCGAACCGTACTGTTCAATACGGAAAATTCATTCGACTTGAAAGCAAAACAGTCTATGAAACAACAACGCATAAGAAACGAGGTTAAAAGTTGTGAGTTGCTGCCGCGATACATAGCCAGTATGGCTACATTGAGCGATAATGAGTGCGTGCGGGAGAGACCGAAAACGTGTCTGAACATGTCGAGCGCTGTGTAGCCACTGCAAACTGATTTGTTCCTTTTGGGTATAAAAATAATCCGATCTGACCCAGAATCGTCAATCTGGAAGATATGGTCATTCTTTATGATTGTCCTTAGTTTTTAGTTTTCTCGTATCATCAATATTGTGGATGCCACAGATTTTCCTCCTTTGTGGGCGTGGAAGGGTGTAAGGCGAAATTTTGAAATACACATGTAACAGTGAGATAGAACAGGCATGTCGATAGGCAAAGCGGACCATGAAACGTATGGCACAGAGCGAGAAAGAACCAAATTGTTTTCATCATTTTTACTATACTAATTATACTATTCTCATTTCTCATAAACCTGGATAATTTCTTGGACCTACCGTCTTTCCCTTTTTATAACACTCGAAATTTTGTCGTCGGAGATATGTCGCTATCCCAATTCTGAAAATATATACTGTCCAACCCGTAGATTGTCTGTGAGTAAACTGTATATATGTATATAAAAACTCAAGCCGGGTGATTTAGGATAACTCTTTATTCGCTGCGCTGCTGTACCGTCTGTCGTGATCGCCATTTACAAAGTGCCCTTTCCTATCGATGTTTCTTATGCTATATATGACTATTGGTGTTTTCCACCGAGTGTATCTATGACGCGCGCTCTTTGTTACTAAAATACTAATCGACTGCCTTAATAAGTATTGCCTAGCTATATAGAATAATTGTCATAGAAGTAATCAAACCCAACCAGTGCATTCTTGCTTGTCGTCCGGGCAACTTATAAATTTTTTTACGTCGAACCCACCGACCGCTGAGCCAGCCCAGCTGAATCAGACGAAATAAAACGTTTCGTTACAATACCTGAGAGTCCCTTGGAACATAGTAAACCCTTACCTTGATTGTCAAAGCTCCAATACTTAAATTTTCAGATCACTCAATCGTTATCCAATTCTCTCATCATGTTCGTTATTTGTCAATTGTTGGTCTAACATTTTTTGTGTTTTTTTGATACCGAAATTTTTATCTTTTCCCGCTGGGTGCTCCTCCGGCAAAAGATTTGCTAAATTCAATGTTCATTTGCGATCGATACCCCGACTCTGGAGTGTACTGGATAATAGGAGCATTATCAGGTGACAGCGGCAGTCGACGCCGTTTGCGTTTCCGCTCTCTTTAATATCCAAGGTACTGCTGTTGTTGGAGGGTGAACATTTGGGGACAACTATGTGACAGCCAGCATCAGCAGGAGTGCCAGAGTCAGAGGCCAAGAAGGCGTGGATGAAGCTTCGAACCTAAAAACCATTCCAGCAGAAGCCTCAGTTTGCGCAGACGACGACGATTTTCCTTCATCGAGATGGCCATACACGAGACGATCGACAACCTGAACATCTGGTGGTTCCCGCGAGACTTTTGCCAGTCGAGATTTGGGGAGTTTCAGCAGAGCGGCACCAACTCGTGCACCCTTATCTCGCTGATCCTGGCCGACAAGGTGTCCAAGGCGGAAAGGTTCTACCACCGGGTGTCCAATTTACCGGCGCGCGGCTGGGAGATGTTCGGTAATGCCATGAACGATGGGAACAGGGTCTACCACAATGTGATCTTGGCCAACACTTCTCATGTGCGCAATCTTAATCTGAACATTCCGGATGCCATTGCGGCCATCCGGACGCAGCAGAGGATGAACTTCCGCCTGGAGGAGTGGTTCTACACGCACATGGACGCTGACATATCCAGTCCCTTGTACAACCGGAATGTGGCCATGCAGCTGTCCCGCATCTTCCAGATCACGCTACGGGTCTACCAGCAAGCCATTGGCCAAAGCGCGCAGCCACATCTGTTCGCCGCCATAATTGCGGACAGTCGAACGGTGATGGTCACCCTCGATGTTCGTGCCTCAATTGTGGCACTGTTCGACTCTCATCAACATGGCCGAGATGCGGGGGCCGTTTTCGCCCAGTGCACCCTCCAGAACATGGACGATTTGCTCTTCTGGTTCATTAGCATGCTGCACAACGTCTACTCGAGTCGTCCCGTCATCTTCGAGATCTCCTTCCTCAGCGCCCAGCCGGGAGTGGCGAAGCATATTCCGCCGGCAATCAAAAAGTTTGCGGGGAACATCAAAAAGCCAAGCAAAAAATATGCGTAGCTGTAGCACGCCAGTGTACATCCCCTATTACGCATGGTGTGTCACCATCTGACATCTGAGAATGGGCTTAACCAAAAATTAATCAAATCAAAATACCAAAATAGCTAATTCCAAGATTTAAGGCATTCAACCAACTTGCAAATTCTACAGTGACCTTCAATAAACAAATATCGGACATATTTTGAGTATCTACTGTAGGGTAGATGTAACACGGCCTTTATAGGTTCTCTATTTGGGAACAGAGCTGTATGCAATCCAGCTACGATAGACTATTAGCTTTCCCTGTCCTCAGTGCTGAAAGAGTACCCTAAGCTAGATTTGGTAAATTTGAAAAGAAAAATTGGTAAAAGTTGGTAGACCTTAATTTGATTTGCAATACGCACAATAGTCTCGCGATGGATCAGTGCAATCCTTTCGAATCCAGGCCAGGCATTACGAATGTTTTGTTTATAGATTTTTGGCTGCCAGTTCTGTGGTATTCTTATTGATTTCTACTTTTGTTAATGAGCAGTAAGCATATGCTACGGGTAAATGTTTATCTCCATATTTATACTCGATACTCAAAATGAGTATTTGGGTATATTAGATTTGTGGTTAAAGTGGATATGTGTAACGTACAGAAAGATGAGTTTCCGACCCCATAAAGTTTTTTTTATATATTCTTGATCAGCAACAATAGCCGAGTCGATTGAGCCATGTCTGTCTGTCCGTCCGTCTGTCCCTCCCTAGAGCAAGAATATTTTGTATCAAAACTTCTGTGATATGTCACTGTTACAAGTGTATTTCCAAACTTCGTCACGCCCCTTTCCGCCCCCACATAGGACGAGAATCTGTGGCATCCACAATTTCAAAAATACGAGAAAACAAAAAACGCAGAATCGTGGAGAATGACTATGTCTTCTAGACTTATAGCCAGTGTTTGGGATGCCAAGCTTTTTTGGCACCTTTAAACTTTATAATATTTATTTGATTTTGTGGCTGAGCTGAAGCCGATTGCTTGCTAGGGCCAGATAGGTAAGAGGTATTCAACCGGAGCACAGAGGGGTTAGCATGGAACTAACAGACGAAGGCGATCAAATGTGAATGCCGAAGTGGCGGCGGCACAGAAAGGTAATTGCCGAAGTGACGGCGGCAGAGAGCGGCAGAGGCCCACTCTGCTCATACAATAACAATGCTTAAATTTACGGTTATTCTTCGGCGGCTGGCCCGAAAAAACTCCCCCCCTTTGGAGCTAGTCTCTCAACAGATTCCTTAAGAGGCAGCAAACATAGCCGAGTGACGGCCCTCCTGATGTTTCCTGAGGATGTCTTCAGGTCAGCGACGCGACACACTCCGTCCTTGCCCATAACGACATCGACCACTCTAGCCAGTGGCCAACGCATTGGAGGAAGATTTTCGTCCTTCACCAGGACGAGATCGTTCTTACAGATGTCTTGAGCGGAGGTACGCAACTTCGCGCGCTCTTGCACAAGAGTGAGATACTCTTAGCGCCAACGGCTCCAAAATATTTGTTGTAGTTGGGTGACCCGCTGCCAACTGTCAGACGATTGTAGTTCAGCTTCGTTAGGTCAGGATCGAGGATTTGCTCATGGGGACCGCCTAGAAGCAGGTGAGCAGGAGTCAAAACGTCTAAATCATCAGGATTTTCTGAAAGCGAGATCAAAGGGCGAGAGTTCACAATTGCAGTAATCTGACAGATCAGAGTTCGCAGCTCGTCAAAGCTAAGCAAAGATGGTCCAACTGAGCGGTACAGGTGTTATTTTGCGGTCTTCACGGCCGCTTCCCACAACCCGCCAAAATGCGGAGAGCGTGCTGGGATGAAACGCCAGTCGATCGAGTCAGCCAAGCAGGATTCATGGACCTTCTTCAAATGCGGTTCGCAAAGCTTCTTTAGCTCCAGACGCTCGTTCTTGGCCAGTGACTTCAAAAGCTCGAGATCCTTCCAAACCTTCCTTAGGTAGGTCTCCCATGATGTGTTCAAACATGCGCGGCCTAGTCCTGAAGCATCTCACACACTTGCTAACGACCCTTGACACTGTCCGGCATGGAGGTTTCTTTCGTGATAATAATTTGTTAAGACCTTAAAAGAAAAGTCTAGACATTTGCGAGTTGAGTTGTAAATTCAAACTAAATTTTATTCTTAAAATAAAACGAGGGGGAACGTTGTGAGTTGCTGCGGACACCGCAACTCTACAGTTATACCCGATACTAAGTCAGTATGGCTCTCCTCCGGCAGACGGCGCTAATATTGAACTACACAACAAAGAGTGCGTGCGAGAGAGACAGAAAATCAGTCTGAGCGTGACGTCGGGCGCTGCGTAGCCACTGCAAATTGATTTGTTCCTTATGGCTATAAAAATGATCTGATCTGATCCAGATTCAGCAATCTGATTGATATAGTCATTATCTATGATTCTGCGTTTCTAGTTTTCTCAAATCTGCAATATTGTGGATGCAATAGATTTTCGTCCTTTGTGGGGGCGGAAGGGGGTGGGGCGAAATTTTGAGATATACGTTTTATAGTGAGATCTAACAGGAGTGCGGATACTAAATTTGGTTACTCTAGCCTTAATAGTCTCTGAGATTTGTGAATATCCCCAGATTTGCAACCTTTGCGGGGGCGGAAGGGGGTGTGGCGAAATTTTGAAACAAACTCGTCTCGGTCCGATATATTAGGAGTGTGGATACCAAATTTGGTTGCTCTAGCTTTTATAGTCTCTGAGATCTAGGCGCTAATGTTTTACTCTAAGCAAAGCCGCGTATGCTACGTGTGAGAAAAAATGAAATTGTTTTCTTGATGCTGGCTATAATAATAATACGATCCAATTCAGATTCCGCAGTCTAAAAGATATGGTCATTCTCTACGATTCTGCGTTTTTTGTTTTCTCGTATCTTTAAAATTGTGGATGCCACAGATTTTCGCCTTTTGTGGGGGCGGAAGTGGGCGGGGCAAAGTTTTGAAATATTTTTGTTGTAGTGACATATCACAGAAGTCTGGATCCAAAACATCGTTGCTCTAGCTCTTATAGTCTTTGAGCATTAGGCGCTGAAGGGGACGGACAGACGGACAGATGGACGGACGGACAGACAGACATGGCTCAATCGACTCGGCTATTGATGCTGATCAAGAATATATATACTTTATGGGGTCGGAAACGATTCCTTCTGGACGTTACACACATCCACTTTTACCACAAATCTAATATACCCCAATACTCATTTTGAGTATCGGGTATAAAAAGCAGAGCCTTATATGTGATTTGACAATGAGGTAGGAGGTACAATTTTGTATTCTATACTTATCGTTAGACCTACGCAAAGGACACATTTTACTGCGGGTGTCTATTTGAGTGCATTGGTTAAGTGTTTTCCCCACTTGTGTTTTGTTGTAGTATCTTTTGATGGGCTACAGATCTTGCTTTACACCCGAACTGTCATTACTTATCTACTGTATGTGATTTCTTTACAGATCCCTTTTTTGGATACATAAGTGAATGTGTACAAAAATATGTTTATGTTTGATTTCGACGATAATATGTTCAAGTTTAAACATACTGCAAAGGGCCGAAAGTGGCATGGTTTTTAATTTCTTGTGAAACTTTTTGTGTACATTTTCTTTATACATAGCTATAATTAGAAGTACTGATAATCATTTACAGTCAATTACAGCGGGTAGGGAAGTTCTATCGTTTGTAGTCTTCGTGCTACTTTGATTCTTCTTATGGCATAGATTATTAATATTATTATTATTATGATTCCGATAATCAAGGCCGCATGTCCAGAAACATGATGGAACTTAAGTCCTTTTAAATCATGATGACCTTCTTTTAACAATTTTAGTTCGTGTCTTAACTTATCCATTTCTTCTTTATATAAAATTATGAAATTGTAGCTTTCTGTTTGAATTCAACATAATTTGAACAGTTCAGTCGTTTGGTTTTGGTAGGAATGAATCCAATTTATTCTTCATAAACTTCTTTCGCCTAAAAGTACATTCAGAGAGCCCTGCCGATCTAGATGTTCTAACTCCAGCGCATTTCTTGAATGGTGGCCCTCCTGCTTCGTTCGCTGAGCCTGACGTCACGCAGCTAAACTTCGATCGCCTGGACGGCTGGCAGCGCGTTTCGTACCTGCAGCAGCTCTTTTGGTCCCGGTGGAAGGAGGAGTACATAACGTCACTGCAGCAGCGCTCAAAGTGGCGCACTGCGAAGCCTAGTTTAGCTGTCGCAGATTTGGTTCTTGTCAAGGATGATAATCTTCCTCCCATGAAGTGGCCACTGGCGAGAGTGGTCGTGCTTTTGCCTGGACGAGATGGCGTTTCCCGAGTTGCTGTGCTGAAGACGTCATCTGGAATCACAAAGCGCGCCGTCAACAAGCGGTGCCTGCTACCCCTTAAAGATGCTGTTGAAAGTCAGGCTTCCAACGGGGGAGTATGTCGGGTCAAGCAGCTTAAATATTTTAAATTATTGCCAGTGGTGCGGCCCAAAGGAAATGCATTTTGGTGTTGTCGTTTCAATGCCCCCACTACAAAGATCATTTGCTACCGCATATGCGCATGCAGCGGAATTCTTTTGTCTCCTTATGTCGCAATCTCTCGGACTCGGCTTAACAGCATCCCCGAGCAGCTCTAACGCTCTCGGGCTATCATACGTTCTCGCTCGCGTCTAAGCTTGCTGCATAGGGCCCGGCAGATTGGCCCGTCAGCCCTTGCATGGGCAGTCTTGAGCTAATCGTCGCAGCTATTAGATTAACGTCCTCGCATCAATCGTTCGCCCAATCATTCCCATATGTACATACGCGATAAGTTGGTTTACATATGCAAATAAATTGTGAATTATAAACAACCTCTCGACTTTCATTAACTTCAAATTGCAACAAATTGTTATTAAAAACGCTTAATAGCTTAACACCATCATTAATATATGATGCTTCCAATTGCTTTCGCAAATTGTTGATTTCTGTTGTATATTGTGATGCTGTTTTGCCCTTTTGTTTAGTAT